CTTTGAAGTCCATCGGTGTCTAGACATAAAGACATGATTCCAAGTTTGATGGAGAAAACAATGCACAATGTCCAGAGGTCCTAGACTTTGAGTTCAAAATGTTGACAGGATGACTTGTGGTTGACTGAATTCCATTAGAGGGTTGTATGTATTCTAAGTATAGAAAGAGGAAAGGAATTATTTATTGACCAGAAGAGTAGACTGTGTCAAAGTCAGTGGTTTTCACAGAATTTACCATTTGCTATCCCAATTACATCACCCTTTCAAAGGGGGCATACACTTAAGTTTGGCCAATGACATGTAGGTGAGAGTGACATATGTTACCTCTAAGTCAAGGCATAAGCAAACTTAATGGCTTCTCCATTGTGAGATGAGGCATTAAGTTCTGCTTCATACAGTATAGTTACATAATGGTGGAGCCTCTATCACTCTGGCCCCCGAGGAACTGTCTAACACACAACTTTTTTTTTTTTATTTTGCTAAGACATTGGGATTTGGGAATTATGCATCACTATGGACACCTTAGTCTATCATTTCTAACACAAATGCACTAGGAAATGTGTCTCTCATGGCACTTAGAATTCTGCATAGTAGTTGTTCAGGTATTTCCTGGAAAACATTTTTCTAAGATGTTTGTAATTTAATTTTCTCCTTCACTCTAGGGATGCCTGGGATAAAATAAAGATGAATATAGATTTATCATAAATGATTTTTAAGGAAAATGGTAGGAAAATACCTGTTTTCATGAAGTTTACACATCCTGTGAGACTACCAATATAACATGATATAAAACAGGAGAGATAAAATGCACCTGTCATGTAGCCAGAGCTACTCTTATAAGTCAACAAAAAACTACCTCATGAAATCTCAACAGGTGTCCTGATATCACCTTGTTTGTCCTTCTGGGTTGTAATATATATTACTTTAAGTTGTTTTTTTTTTCCCTAAATGACCATTGCTTTTCCAATTCTAATGATCTACTAAGTTGGTAGCATTCTAAAAGATTAGATTTCTCTAAAATATCTACTTTTATCTTGTTCACTTTTTCATTTATTTCCATTACCAAAATTGAATGTAGACCCCATTGTGTTCACACTGAGAGATAGCAAATTATAGCAAACAGCACAGACTCCCACTCTATCAAGGTATTCAGGCTTCATCACTTCTGCAGCTCTGGGAGATAATAAGGAATCATTTGTTGCCTTTAGTTCATCATCTGTAAAATAAATCTAATATTAATACTGATCTCATAGGATCATGTGGAGAATGACATCAGTTAATGTATTTGATATATTTAGATCAATGTCAGACACATTTTAACTGTTCTATAAATTTAGCTGATTCCATCTGAATTGGATTTTATCTATATTATTCACTGTGTTATCCACAGTGACCAGTATATGACCTTGCACATGGCTCTAGAAAATGGCCTAGAGACAAAAATGAGTATACATATTTATCACTTTAAGAGTAAATGTATTTGTTCAGGTACTTGAAAATTTCAGATATTGTGAAGTATCCTGAAAAAGATAACTTTATTCATAGAGTCTTTACATTAACTATCTCAGTAGCTTTTAATACTATACTGTAGATCAGCTATTTCACGATAATTTTTCTGGGTTAACTTTGCAAGAAATTCTGTTATTAGGACAGAAAAATCAATCAGTATATACCACCTACTCCCTTATGACGTAAATAACACAGTAAAATATTTGTTTGGAAGGCTATGAATGAGAATTAAAATAATTCATCATCCTGATGAGAAGTAACCAATAATTATTCTTGCTACCTAATAGAACTAAAATGCCATCACATTGTTCAGATAAAGCTCTTGAAGCTAAGTACAGAATATGTTCACTAGCCATTTTGAAATATGCTCTCTTTTTCTTTGACTAGACAAAATGTCAATAGGAAATCATATAAACACACACTACCACTAGTGCTATTGATAAATGTACTACACTGCTACATAAAATACAAAAACCTTTGTTTTGTGCTGACGTAAGATAAATATGTCTACATTGTTCAGTATTTAATTACCTATTGTATAAAACAACTGTACTATTTCATCTACATTTTTCTAACACTTTGTTAAGACTTTCAAGTCGACAAGAAGATGAAAGTAAGGAAGATAGAGAAGGCCATTTCAGTTGAATTCTGATACTCAAGTTTATACTATTAAAATCTAGCCATGGGGAAGAGAAAAAAATGAAAATTCGAGGATCAAATTCACTTACTAAGTGAAAGTTCCTCCTGGCTTTCATTTTATGCAGGTTATGCAAACCTCCATGAGTACAATTAAGATTTTCTAAATTGATGATTCTATTTATTTGGTGAAGCATTTAAGATTTCTCAGGCTTTAAATTCTTAGATCCAGGGGTCTCTCTATTGGCACAAGGGGTTAAGCACCGCACTATGAAGCAGTCTGCAGCCTCTGCAGCACAAGTTCAATTCCAGGCTGGCCAGGGAGCAACCCACATGGTGCAGCAGACCTCTCCTGTCTCGCCCACTGCTCCATCAGCAGTGTACTTCAGTCAGTCTGCCTGTTCTGTTCCCCACACTGTCTCTGGTGAATCCTCTCACTCCCCACATCTCTGGACTGTACCCCGGTTCTTACATGCATAAATAAATAAATCTTTAAAATAAATAATAAATTCTCAGATCTAGCTATGTTGCTGGTGGAGGGAAGAGAAAGCAGTCTATTCTGTAATAATTTGGGTTTTAGTTGGAAGACAAATTCCAAATGAAAGAATCATTTTCCTGATACTACTAATGGCTTATAGGAAAGGTATAATTACAAGAAGGAGACTCAACATAAATATTGTATAACGCTCCTTGGCTGGGAACAAGTGCAGCCTGATGAGAACATCATATTCTAATAGGCACATCTTTATTGGAGAAAGAGATTAATATTCATTTAAAAATATTCTAAATTCAGATGTGAATTATAACAGATTTCAAGGCATCTGCTATAAAACATCTATAAGCTCTGGAAGATCTATGTGTCTGTTCATCTTATTATTTAGAGTTTTTATGAGTTAATCTAAGTGGGTCTCAGGTGAGACTATGTCAAAAGAAAAAAATTTTCTTCCAGATTTAGTGTATTTATTTTGAAGAGCATTGAGGTTGAGTTTATAGTAAAATTAAATGATATTTTTGTTAGTCAGAACACAGAAAATTAAAAAGTTTATTTCCAACTAGATGTTTCCACCTAATGTTTTAAAAGCTCCCCATTACTACAAACACGATTACTTCAACTAATCAAAAACCAACAATTAAGTGATACATTTTCCCTGTCCCATATACCAGGATCTATTGTGGTGCATTTTAGAACAAAAAGAATACATAAAACAAAAATAACCAGATATACTTTATAGAGAAAAATAAAAAAAACTTCTATGGTACAACCCAAGAGTTGTTCAGACAAAATCAATATTGGAGTGTCTGTGTGTGCAGGTATGCCTGATAGTTAACATTTAGATGATGAACAATGCCTTAAACCAAGGAAAAACAACCTGGATCATGAAAACAATGTTTAACAAAGTGAAATCCACAAGATAAAAGTGCTATTAGAAACCCTTTAATAAAACAGAAAATTCAAAAAGAAAATTACATCTTTTTCACTGAAATGTTGGTTTAAAAGATGTCCTGTAGGGCCTCCCCTGGTGGCACAGCAGTTGAGCGCTGGGCTGCGAAGCTGCCTGCAGCTCAGGTTCGATCCCTGGCCAATGGAGAGGGTCCCACATGGCGCGCATAGCTCTCCTGCCACACCCATTGCTCCCCTCAGCAGTGTACTTCATCAGTCTGCCTGTTCTGTTCCCCGCTATGGCTCTGGTGAATTCTCTCACCCTCCTGCGCATCTGACTGTACCCAGTGCTTGTATAAATAAATCTTAAAAAAAAAAATAAAATAAAAAAATAAAAGATGTCCTGTAATAGCACTCAATCTTACTTACTCATTAATAAAATTTCAGAAAAAAACAGATTTGGCTTTAGTCTGTTGCTGATTTGGCTATAGTCCATTCACTCTTTCATTCATTTACTCATACATTCATTGAATAAATAATAGCCACCCAAATGAAGAAAAAACTATTTTACAGAAAACTAATCTAGTTTTCTTTTTTATTTAATTTCATTATTACAATACAACTATCCAGGCATTCTGAGAAGTGCACTGAATAGTATAATGAAAAAACATATAACCATAAATTAATTTCAAGTGCAGTTAATATTTTGTCATATCATCTGTACCAAAAATTATTTTGTACAAGTATTCTAAAGTAAATTAACTTTGCATTTGCAATTCTGGTTTAAACTATACTACCATAAAAAATGAAACACTGTCAATCCAAACCTAATACCATTTATAGAACAGGAGAAAAATATAACTGAACAAGTTAATATACATCGGAAACCCTAGACAGTGAATTGAATATTGGATAGTGACACTAATATCTGGAACACAGAGGGGAAAAAAAACAAACAAACATACAAAGGGTCAGATAAAACCAAACCAATAACAAACTCTAGTAATTTGACTATAGACTTGAGTAATTTCTCCTGAGGGAGAAAAAGGGAGTAGGGAGTTGGTAAGGGGACCCCATAGACTCTGGAGGAGGATCATTGGTGCCTTGATGGTAAGATTGGTGTGGTAACATATACAGGAAGCTGTTATACCTTATACCTCTAAAGCATATACAACATTGTAAATAAATGTTACCTAAATTTAAAAAAAAAGATAAAAACAATGTCATTTATTATTATTGAATACAAAATCTCAAATTTCCCCAATAGTAATCTAGATCTCTGATTTTGCCTCTCCTTTTCCAAATCATAGCTAAATGAAGGAATATTCATAATATTTATGTGTAATGTCTTCTAAAACTTAAGTACATTTAATGGAAATATATATACAGCACAGCACACAAATATATCTGCAGAGCCAATGAAACTGTCATGGATTAAATTCAGTTATTTAACTGCCACTCTTCTCAGGAAATAAACTAGCAGCTCAGAAGTGCCAGCATTCCAACCTGTGCCTTCTCAGTCAATGTACCAACCCTTCTCCCTCCATGTAATTATCTTCTAAATGGATACTCTCTTCTGATACCAAATTGAAAGTTTCATACTTCGGGAAAGCATCTTGACACTCATTGTCCTTTGAGTAAGCATATATTTCAGAATAACTCTTAGTCTTTCACATGCCTGCTGAAAATATTCCTCGAAATATCTATTGTATTGTGATACATACATAGCAACTTGAAAATTAGAAAAAAATCAATGTTCCCCATTCAATGAAATACTGTTTCCTTCTATTAATCAGGTAGTTAAAAACAAAACTTTTTTTTTTTTATTTAGACAATCTGTATTTTATTTTATTTTTTTTTCAAATATTAAATTTTATTTTTATATTCCCCCATACAATTGCAAACGCCCCATTCTGACCCCAATCCTTCCCCTCCCGCCCCCCACCCCCCAAAAAGTGTCTCTGGTTCATAGTTTTTGTTGATTTTGATTTTCACTTTCTTATATTCATTTTCCTGGTCCCTTATTTAAGTTTTCTAGATTCCTGCTATGAGTGAGACCATCCGGTATTTTTCTTTTTCTTTTTGGCTTATTTCGCTGAGCATGATCCCTTCCAGTGCCATCCATGTTGCTTTTTAAACAGTATTGTAGATTTCAGCTTAGAAGTTGCAGATATCTTTAGATTTAACCTGTATATTTTATTTTTGTGTTATTTAAAAGGCTAATATTATTTCATTTTCTAATTCTGTTTTATTGGCATATAAAATTATAAACTATTTTATATAATGATTTGAAATTTCAAAGATAACTATATCCATTTTGGTCCAAACAACTTATTTAAAGTCTCTACTGAAACTTTATCTGTATAAATAATTTATAGGTCCCTTCTTTTCCCTCAGGACTTTTTTTTCCTTGTCTTTTTGCACTTGCTACAATCCTAATGTTAAAAGTGTTTTGTATTTATCCATTATTTGATTGAAATTTAGTTTCTGGTTTGCTAATAGATTTCCACAGATGTTGAGCTTTAGCAAATACATTTTCTGCAGCTATTGAAATATTTTTTCTTCTTTATTCCATCAATATAGTCAATCATTTTTTAGTTATTTTCAAATATTAAAATAACTTACATTCCTAGAATAAACTCACTTTTCTTATAGTAATGCTAAACTTCATTTGCATTTCTGTTTAAATGGACTAATATTCTATGTAGTATTTTTGCATCTATGCCCAAGGATAAATTAATCTTTACTATTAATACATAGGGATTTCATGTCATATTTGTATTTTTTTTACCAAAGTTACACACACAACACACAAAGTGAGAATTTTTTCCAGTTATCTCCATTCACTGGAAGCATTTAAAATACTGAAAATTTTTATTCCTAAAGAATAAACATCTGGACTTGGATTTTGAGATTTCTTTGTGAGAAGTATCATAATTGGGGCCTCCCAGGCGGCGCAGCGGTTGAGCGCTGGGTTGCGAAGCTGCCCGCGGCCTCTGCGGCGCCGGTTCGATCCCCGGCTGCTCCCCGGCCACCGAAGGAGGGTCCCACATGGCGCGCAGACCTCTCCTGCCGCCCGCTGCTCCCCTCAGCAGTGTACCTCGGTCCTTCTGCCTGCTCTGCTCCCCGCTCTGGCTCTGGTGAATTCTCTCGCCCTCCCGGCTTCTGACTGTACCCAGTGCATGTATAAACCAAACAAACAAACAAACAAATAGATAAATAAGACATGCCTCTAGAAAATTAAAAAAAAAAAAGAAGTATCATAATTGTATATTATATTTAATTAACACATGGGAAAGTACTATTTTTTATTTCAATGCATCAATTTTGGATGGAATTTACAAACATTATCTAAATTTTCAAATGTATTAGCATGAACTAGTTAATAATATTCTCACATTTATATTTGAAACTATGTTTACATACCATTTTCCTCAGTTCCAAAGCTGATTTAGTGTTTTCTTGATGAGTCTCACAAAAGTAGTGACAACTTTTGAAGTCTTAGTTAAAAAAATAGCATTTGACTATGACTGTCATCTCTATGGTCTACTTTTTTAACTAAATTTCACTTCTACATAGTCTACATTGGGTCTAAGTGTTCTCAGTCTACTTTTGAAATGACTCCATAAATCATTGCATTTTAGTCTTCTTTATTAACATTTACATGTGTGCTATAAATTTGCTTCTAAGTGACATTAGCTTCATTTGACAAGCTAGATAAATAGTGATTCTACTATAATTAAGGTCAAATATTTTTCTATTTTTCATAGTGACTTCATTATTAACCCATAGATTATAAAAATTATATTGCTTAATTTTCCCAAATAGAGATAATTTCTCATTATCTTTTAATTGTGGATTTCTAAGGTATATTAATTGCATTAAGAGACTAGACAATGTAATTTTTCACTTATATGACTTTTACTTTCTACATTGACCTATAAGTGGCAAATTTTGGAAGATCTTCCATATTTCATGGAAAAGAATATATAATCAACCCCTACGTTTGCAATTCATTAATAGATAAATCAGCTAAAATTTATTAAATGTATCACTCAAATCCTCCATATTTTTACTTATTTATCTCTGCTTATTCTGTCAGTTACTGAAGGGATGAATTCAATTTCCAAACATCATTGAGGACTTTCTGTCTGTTTTTTATTCTGTAGATTTTGCTTTGCATATTTTTGTTCATAAAAGTTTAGAAAAAAAAAATCTTTAATCATATTGAAATGCCTCTTTATCTTTAATAATTCTTTATATTACTGTAGCTATTGCAGCTTTAATATGGTTGGTGAGTTATAGTATATTTTACAATATGTCCAACATATTATAAAATATGTCTCTTTTAAGTTGTATATTAAAATAATCTGTTAGTCTTTTAATTGAAGCACCTAATTTACATTTAATTAAAATACTCATTGTATTAGGTGTAGCATTTCTATTTTTAATTTTTTTCCTTCAATTTTTCTTTCTAAGAGTTTTATCTCTACAGTCTCACATTATTAATTTAGGGATTTATTCAATATACATTTATTATCACATGATAAATTGTATGATAAATTGTATATTCACTTCTTGGATAGACAAAGAATTTAGAACATTTTAACTCCTCATACCCTCCCCCAACTTATTGCTTACTTTGCTGCATAGTTTAATTTTATATATGCAATTTAAGCACCGTAAAGAATTGTCATTTTTATACAAATTTATTCACATGAGCATTCTTTCCACCATTGATTACTTATTGAAACTTTAAATTTCCTTGTGGGATTATTCCCCTGAGCTTGAAAAATTTCTCTTAGTAATTCATATACAACAGCTCTCCTTTTGGCATCTTAGTTTTGTAAGGCAGAAATTGCCTCAACTATATCTTTATTATTAAAACCTGTTTTTACTAAATATAAAATTCTCAGTAGGCATTTCCTTTTTTTCACCCCTTGGAACATAGTCTGTTGTTTTCCATTGTTTCTCTTAAGATGTCATTTTCAGTTTTATTGTTGCCCAATTAGTGATAATGTCTTCTTACTCTCTACTTATCTTTCTTTGACTTTAGTATTCAGCAATCTTACAGTAGGTGTATCTAGATTGGCTTTGCTTTGTATTAATTCTTTGTGAGATTTATAGAGATTATTAAATCAATAGTTTGGTGAACAATGATCAGTCAATATATCTTCAAATATTGTCCTTTCTCATTTTCAGTTATTTCTCCTTCATTGAATCCAGTCAGTCTTTTAAAAAATATTTTTAAAAAATTTTATTTATGCATACAAGAACTGGGGTATAGGCCAGAAGTGAGGGGGGTGAGAGGATTCACCAGAGACAGGTGGGGAACAGAACAGGCAGATCAACTGAAGCACACTTCTGAAGGGAGCAGTGGGAGAGGTAGGAGAGGTCTGCTGCATCATGTGGGTTGCTCCCTGGCAGGGATAGAACTCGTGCTGCAGAGACTGCGGAACAGCTGCACACACAGGCTGCATCTTAAACCCTTCCGCTACCAGGGAGGCCATAAAAAATATTTCATTATACCATTATCTAATTTTTTTTCATTTTGCCCATATATATGTATTGCTTTGCAAATTTTCTTCTGACCTAAATTACAGGCGCCAATATTTCTCTTCTGTTGAATATGTTATTAACCACATCTGCTGAGCTATTAATTTTAATTATCAATATTTTTACAGATTGATTTCTCTACTAAAGTCTCAATGTTATCTTTTTAATTCTTTGAAAATATGATCATATTCTTTGAAAGTCTTTGCATGATAGCTCATTTACCTAAATCCACTAGTGGTGTATCCATATTAAATTTTGGTTGGTTGGTTTTGTTTTTGTTTAAGTTGAATTCTTTTGTAGCCCTTATCATGTTTGATTAAATATTAGAAATATATGAAAAACATACTTATTGAAGCTATGGATGATGCCATACCCATTCTAATTACTTGTTTCTCCATCCCTATCTTTCCTAATATTCTCACTGAGGCCTGTGTGCACTGAACTATGGAATGCAGTGATGTGGCCCACGTCAGCTCATGTCCTGCCCAATTCCTTTGTTCTACTTATTTCATTCTATATTTTGCTTTCTTACATCATGCTTATTTGAAATGTTTATTGCTTCCTTTGCACTTCCCACCACCACCCCCCCCCCGCCACACACACACACACACACTGTATGTAATCCATGAAGCCAGGAACCTTGATCTTTGTTTTGTTCACTGATGTCTTCAAATAACCACAATAGAGTCCCTCACATAAAGGCACTCAATAAATAAAACTGATTAGATTTACAAATGAAAAAAGGAAATGAGAGAAGGCAGGGGGCCATTAGGTGCTGTGAACAGTGGGACATAATTTCCTCTTTGTAGATGTGGCAACTCCGGAAGTGGCCTCATAGGTATTGTTGGTCAGTCAAATGAATCAGATATCTAGATATCTATCAATTGGTATATATTCAGGAAACTCAGGGCTGGATTTTCGTGTCAAAAATACAACTATTATTTGGAAATGATATAATTGTGGGAAAACAAGGTAGTCCAACTACAAAGTTTAATTAGCAAATGATTTTTTTAAAAATCTACCTAGTAGTCTTAACCTAAAGAATCCATGTTTATTTAGCTTTTGTTTCACAAACTTCCCA